CTAATAGGAAATTATTCTTGCATATTCTTTGCCTATTGAATAGGATGTTAGTTTTTACTGTCCAACTGGTACATATTCCCTAGGAAAAATCCTTCTTTAGAGATTTTAAATGGAGATTAAAAAAAAATAATGGTTTGTATCAGATTGTGATAAGCTTTTTTACAATTAGTAAAGAAATTCAATTGAATTTATTGCAGTAGGCTTTTTGATTTTCTTCTCAAGAAGAAAGGAATATTAAACTAGTATTTAACGTTTGTTAAAATTTATTGAATTAAATTATCCTTCCTTCGATTGGGGAAAAGTTATTTGCCTCACTAAAAAAGCAACATTTATTGCTGAGTCTTTAAATAGTTTTATTTAAATCTGACACTTTATCGCTGGGGCTTTAATATATAGATAACCAGCTAAGTAATTTCAGGGCTGGACCTGGAGCTGTGGTCCCCTTGGTCAGTTGTGTTGTCCTCAAGCAATCAAGTTCATCTCAGGGTCAGAATTGTTCTGTGATGTGTGTGGTTCCTGTCAGGTGAGAATCAGAAATGAGAATGCTGCGTTTTGGTGTTTTCAGTCTTCTAACTTTTACTAATTATCTTGACAAGAAAATTAGAGCACCTTTGATTTTGGTCTTACTTGATCTCATGTGTAGTTTGTTCCACTGGTTTTCAGTCATATTATATCCATTGCTGCCTTTTTATAACAAGTATTTCGTATAGCCCCTTCTGCTAACTTAAAGTGAAAACCATAGTTATTACCTATCTCCATAATTTAAAAAAATCATTATAATGCCCTAATTATAATATAGGAGAAATAGAAGGAAAGAAATTTATAATAAAATGTGTGCTTAAATATGTAAATACTGGAGCAGACTATACTAGATGACACAAGAGGTAGTCAGACACTTGCGCCTGTACGTAGAATCACTGTGAAAGTGAAAGCTGTGGAAGGTGATTGATACAGTGTTATACTGGTGATTCAGATACCCAAGTGGCATTGACATTAGTGATATGCTTTTCCAAAGTGGTGAGCAACTCTTAGTAAAGTTCTGAACAGAACAAATAGATTTATAATATGGTCACATTCTAGGACATTTGGAATACGTTCTAGCCTTATTCAATGGAACTTTTGAAAGTTATCCAGACATGTGACAGTTCTTTGCAATACGTATTGTTCCCTGCATTGCTGGACCTCTGGTATCCCTGGCATTTGCTCTTTAAATGCTGGTAGTAAAACCTTTATCCTACCCCTCCTCCTGTCAAGCCCCCAAATGCCTCCATATATATCCAAAGGGCCCTCTAGGGGGCAGTGCTGCTACTATTGAGAACCACTGGTTTAAAAGTATCCGGCTATATTAATCTACTACACACCTGTATCGCTCAAGGAATTTTAAAACCACAGTACTTAAATATTGTAGGTCCTTAAATATAATATGTTTTGAATAATTAAGACAATTACAGAATTAGAGAAGTTGATTTGTTGAAATGAATCATTGTTTTGTCACAATTCTTCTAAGCAAATCAATGTTTGCTATTTTAAGTCCCTAGTATCCTGCATTTTCTGTATTTTTTCCTACCCTTCCTGTTTAGTAAGTCATTAGTATATAACTTTCCTTAATGTCGGCATTTACTTACTTGACAGTCACACAGTTTTAATTTGTTGCTTTAAAAAATCCACTTTTTAAATTAGGAAGATAATATAGACACATTAGAGAAATTTTGTAAACTTTCCCATAATTATACCACTCAAGCAATTGTTAATGTTTTTCTGTATTTTGTTCTCTGTGTATTTTGACATTCAAAAGTTAGTTTTGTATCTTTTCACTTGGCATAACTTTTGTGTGCTATAACTTCAAAACTGCTATTTTAAATTACTGCATCTTATTCTGTTAGATTCCACAATTTAACCATTTTCCTGTCTTTGGATTGTTCACATTATAAAAAGGATTATATATAATATATATGTATTATATACGTAATAATATATAATCTTTATTGATAGATGTATTTCAGTATATTTTCATTTTTTCTTTAAGATAGATCCTCAGAAGTGGGATCATTTCTTGGGTCATTAGGCTTGGACATTTTTGTAACTTCTGTTAAATATTGCCAAATATATTTAAATATATATTAAATATAATAAAAAATAAAGCTGATCCATTTATATTGCTATCAACATGTATAAGATGTCAATATATGAAAGCATCAATTTCACCTCACCTTTATCTGCATCAGGAATTACTTTAAAATTATTTACTTTACGTTTATCTGACTATCTGTGATGCTGAACATTTTGTACGGTTGTGAATTATTTCTGTTTTTTCTTTTGGAAAACGTTTGGTCATGTCCTTTGACTGTTGATCTCTTGGGTTCTTGGTGTTTATTTCCGTTTTCATTTTGAGTCAGACCTTTTAGGGAACTAAAATAGTAACGTTTCTTACATTCATTTTTGAGGCAGACGTTCCTTTGTCTTTGATTTTAGTTTGATTATTTTATTTCTATTTTTTTTAATACATAGAAGTTTCATATTTTTATGAGATTTGTGTGTTATCTACCTGTAGACGATGGTTTGTGATATCAAATAAAGAACACAGGATGGAAAGTCAGGAAATCAGGCTTCTGAAAGGAAATATTTTTAATATATATTATATCTGACAAAGGACTCATGTCCAGAATGTATGTAAGAACACTTACAAATCATTAAGAAAAAGGCAGACAACCCAATTTCTAAAAATGAGGAACAGCCACAAACTGCCACTTCATAAAAGAAATCCGGATGTCTAAACCAGCTGGCACTATGCTCAGTGAGTGCACACTGATTTTATATTACCTGAGTAAGACATATTTAAAAATGTATATTTCTTGGAAAGATTTATTTTATTGTAAAACTAAATTAATATTAAGTTTTGGTCATCCAGAGTATGGACACTGTTTTTGTTAGTGTGGCCGGTTTGGATTTTACTGTACTTCTGCAGAATAGAGGTCAGTTTCTTTTCACCTTATCCTGCCTTTAGGAGGAGGTTATTATTGCAGGTTCTTTCCCTGTTGAATAGGGTGTTAATTTTTACTATCCAGCTGGTACAATTCCCTGGGGAAAAGTCCTTCATTAGAGATCAGTAATCTCTTTTGATCTTAGTGCCTTTAGCGTGATTAAGGAGTTCCAGTGACTCCCCCGAAGTATGAGAAAATAAGAGGAAAAAGAAAAAGAAATCAGGAATTCAAAAGTGAAGATGTTGCAAGTGTCACAAAAAAGCATGTAAAAAACCCCACATAACACCTGCACGTGCACATGGTTGTTTTCCTTATTCTTCACCATAGGATATATTGTGAATTATTTGTATCCTTACAAATGGAACAACTATCAGAAATTCTTTCCTGCCTGGTGACAAATGCCTGTTTGGACACGTACATTATACTTAGTCATTGTGCAAACCTCCCAGTATTAGCATCTGTTCCTGGTTACTCCTTCTATGTTTGGTTGTAAGGCAGTAATTTAAGCATAAATCTGTGTTCTTTCAGAGACATCTTTTCTTTTAATCAACCCTTTTAGGTTCTCTAACATCTTTTCTGGTTGTGTAATCATTCTTTTCCTTCCTGGCATAAATAGCCTCTCTGAGCTCTGTCTGTCAGCTTCCGTCTCACACACATGCTCCTCTGCCCTCCTCGAGTAAGACCTCTTTATACAAGATTGGGATACTCGAATCAACCTGGCGTTACCCTCTTATGACTTATTTCCCCTTGGCTACTTACCCAGCTCTCAAACAGTATTCACTTTTTGAGACATATTCACACCCCAGACACATTTTTTTCTTGTGTGATTTCAGAGATTTCACATCTTCCCTTCCCCACTGGCTTCAAATTCTACTGTTTGCCTTTCCTCAGGATACTATATAGTATCGTTGAATAGTCTTCCAGCTGAGTAGTCTTTCTGGATTTGGGAACTTTCTACTCCTCAAAACTGTCATCCCTTGATTTGAATGTTTCTGATACATTCAAATCTTTCTTCACCTGTGTACTCCTGTCATGATCTTTTCCTAACACCTATTTCATTATTTTTTATTCAAGAAGATGCACACACACACACACACACACACACACACACGTGCCCACACACTCCTTTAGGCTGTGGCATTAGTCTTTTCAGATACCTTGAATTCAAGATATGAGGTAGACTTACTTTCCAGCTTCTTTTTTTTTTTTAAGATTTTATTTTTTTCCTTTTTCTCCCCAAAGCCCCCCAGTACACAGTTGTATATTCTTCATTGTGGGTCCTTCTAGTTGTGGCATGTGGGACGCTGCCTCAGCATGGTTTGATGAGCAGTGCCATGTCCATGCCCAGGATTCAAACCAACGGAACACTGGGCCGCCTGCAGTGGAGCGCACAAGCTTAACCACTTGGCCACAGGGCCAGCCCCACTTTCTAGCTTCTTAATGAGACATATACTCTATTGATAATATTGTTAGACTCTCCGTTCAGTATTTTCACTGAATGTGAATTGTGCCGTTTTCTGGAAGAACTTACATGTGCATTGACTGTACGAGGGTTGAAAATACTTCTTTTCGAATTGTGAACACGTTTACTGTTGCAAAAAAAGTTATGGTAGATTTATTCTAATTTGCACCTGTCACAAAGGACAATATCTTGTGCTTTATTTCTGTTTACTTTTGTGAAAGACTTCATTGCTGCAACTCCTCTGTGAAAACATATCGTTGCCAGTTTTAAATTTTAGACAAGCTTTCTCTGCCACTTACCCCTTCTATCTTTTACCAGCTGTATTTGGAGAATTCAAACTAATTTTATTATCCTGGGTAAAAACTTAATGAGAAAGAAAAGTCTGTTCCCAAAATCCAAATATAAATTGCTTTTGTGTGATCTGTGGTTTCATATTAACTATATCACAACCTTTTGAAGGGATGATTGAGAATTGACTTAGTAATAAAGACAGAAGGGAAAAGAATCATGTCATGATATATAAATGGAGATGTTAAATTCATCTATGTTTTGTTTAGATGTCCCTGGTAGACTTGGGAAAGAAGCTTTTAGAAGCGGCACGAGCAGGTCAAGATGATGAAGTTCGTATTTTGATGGCAAATGGAGCTCCTTTTACTACAGACTGGGTAAAAAAGGATTTGAATGTTATGGTGTTTCTTCTTCCTCCCTGTCTTCCCCCTCCCCATCCTCCTCCTCTATTTTTGAATTTTTCCAGATAAAAATTTAGTCAGTATTGTGTGTATAAATGGTAAAAAATTAAGGTTATTTTGGAAATTTGTTTGCAATTTTAGAATCATAGCTATATTTTAAAGAGAATGGTTTGTATCTTTTTTTTTTTTTTATATCGGACATCCTGATCCAAATATTCTGCCTGTAAAAGGGTTTTTCTTTTAAGCTATGGAGTTCAGTAATGCAGGATGAATGTAAAATGTAGCTGGTTGAGATTTAATTTAAAGGTCTTATAAATAGCACAGGTAGAATTTATAATTCAGAAACAGATAAAGATTGGAGTTAATGTTACAGTAGCTTCTAAAAAGAAAAAGAATGTTTGCATTTTAATTGATACTTGTAAAACTATTGCAGACATGACCAAAGAGGAAGAAAGGAATGGGAACGAGTTCTTAGTAACTATAGAAGGCAATTGTGAGGAAAACAAAACAAAACACATAACTCCATTTAATTCTGGGGGTAAATCAAAATGGATGATCTTGGGAGTATGGAGGGTTAGGAATTTGGATTAACTTTCCCACTGGTAACAACTAAAATTCCAGATTTTTTCCTCTTTTTAAAAAATTTTTTTAAAGATTGGCACCTGATCTAATGTCTGTTCCCAAATTTTTTTTTTTCTTCTTCTCCCCAAAGTCCCCCAGTACATAGTTGTATATTCTAGTTGTAGGTCCCTCTGGTTGTGCTGTGTGGGATGCCGCTTCATCATGGCCTGGTGAGCGGCGCCATGTCTGTTCATGGCTCAGGATCCGAACCTGCGAAACCCTGGGCTGCCGAAGTGGAGCGCACAAACTTAACCACTCCGCCATGGGGCTGGTCCCCCAGATTTTTGATTTTGTTGTTTTTGGCTTACTTGGCCTGTGTTCTTTTTTATTTTTCATTCAAAACAAAACAAATTTTTTTATTATGGAAAACTTCAAACATATATCAACCCTTGCATATCCTTCACCTGACTTCAAAAATTATCTGATCATGGTGAGTCTTGTTTCCTTTACAATCCCATCCACCTTCTTTGGTCTGTATTATTCTAAAGTGAATTCCAGGAACCGTTTTATTTCATCCATAAGTATTTCAGCATCTAGCTTTAGAAGATAAAGATTTTTTGATTAAATATTTAAAAACAATCTTCTTAAGTGCACTGATGAATTACAAAGAAAATAAGGGATTATCAACCTGAAAAACTAAGTGAAAGCCAGAACCCAGAGAAATTTCACCCTAAGAACATTTGCTAAACTCAGTTTGCCTGTTGATTTTCCTACCTTACTGGCATGGGTTACTGAAAACAAAGATCTGAGACTGCTCATAGAGAGAAGTCTCCTAGGACATCCTCTTCCCATAATTCTGGAATCCCAAAGAATGGCGTCTTCATTGTAAGGGTAAACAAGAAATACCCCATCCTTCCTCCTACCCACTCCTGCCCATGTTGCTAGGGTACTGCAAGGAAAGTGAACTGACTTGAACCAAGGAACCGAATGGAGAGAGGAAAAAATTGTTGATTAGAATTTACAGTCATAAGCCATCCCTTGCACACATTTGTGGCCTGAACTCATATAAATACATGTGTATTCTGCAAAACCGTAAACTGAACAGTGAATTTAAAATGATCTTTGGACTAGTGTTACCTAGTTTCCTGGCTGAAGCAAATGAACATCCTTTCTGGAGGAAGCTACCTTCATTCTAGACTTCATGGCTACAAAGGAAATTCCAGGGAAAATGACTAGTCAAAAATAACTAAACACACAAGGACACAAAGCACCTTGGACAATAACCCACTGAAACAGCTGACAACAGAAGTAGACCTACAGACTTAGATAAGACTTTAATAGCAGATTAGGAACAACTGAAGAGAAAACTAATAAACTGAAGGATATGAAAAAAAAATCATCTGGAATATAACAGAAAAATAGAAAATATGAAAGATGTCAGGAGTCATGAAGGCTAGTGTGAGAAAGTCTAACGTATATCTAATCATAAACTCATAAGGAGGGAGAGAATAGGGATGAAATAATTTGAGATAATGGCTGAGATTTTTCCAGGACTTATGGAAGATGGCAGCTCACGGATTCAAGTAGCCCTACAGAACTCTAGCAGGATCAATAAAAAAATCCATATCTAGACACATTATAGTGATACTGTAGTACATCAAGATAAAAGGATCTTGAGAAGGATTAGTATCCATAATACATAAGGAATTCCCATGGCAGTAATAAAAAGACAAAAAAGACTGGGCAAATGACTTGATATGGTACTTTACCAAAGACAAAGTTCAAATGAATTTACATTAATAATTGGGCAAATGCAAAGTAAAATCATGAAATACTATTGCATATCCACCAGATTAGCAAAAAGAAGCCTAATGGTACCAAGCATTGGTGAGGAGATGTGTGAATTGGTATAAACATTTTGGAGGGCAGTTTGGCAGTACCTAGTAAATTTGAACATGTGTGTACATACCCTGTGATGTAGCCATTGAACTTCTAAGAATATTTCCAAGGTAAACTCTTGTTTGTGTACTTGAGACTGTTTTTAGCAGCAGCATTATTCAGAATAACACAAAACTGGAAACAACCCAAATGTTCATCAGGAAATTGCTTGAATTAGTTGTGGTTTATTCATGCAGTAGAATATTATGGAACAGAAAAAATTAGTGGATTACACTTGACCTTCACCAACATGGGTGAATCTCAAGAGCATAATGTTAATCAAAAAAAAGGCAAGTCACAGAGAAATACATGCAGTATGATTCTATTTAAATAAAGTTCAAAATAGGCAAAACCAAAGTATATTATTTAGGGATACATAAGTGAAAAAAAAAACCAAAACAAAGTAAAGCAATGTTTATTACAAAATTCAAAATAGTAATTGCCTCTGGGGCTGAGGGAGGAGTTTGTGATTAGGCAGTAGCACATGGGAAGATTTTAAATTGCTGGCAATGTTGTATTTCTAGACTATAATGGTTGTTTCGCTAATGTTTGCCTTTTTTCTGTATACTGAAAATATGTATGTATATAACTATTTTGTATCATCAACCAAAAAGGTAAAGTCTCAAGAAAAAAAATACAAAGTAAACCCTAATCTTGCACTGAGCAGAACTCTTGGTTGCTAAATGGGCTGTTGAGATACTTCATTAGTTATTAGATTTTAAGAGTATAGGAAGGGCTAGTTATAGAAAAATATGCCAAAGCATGGGGAAAGAAAGGATTGCTCAAGAATCTTCACTGATCTGCTAGAATGACCTTCCCTTAAAAATACAAAGTTTTTAATAGTAATAAACTCATTATTCCCAGGATAAATGATTTTTGTTTTTGCCGTCTGTTGGGAGTACATGCCTAGCTTTGTATTATGACTGTTACCTGTTGTTTGACTTCAGGCAAATTAGTGACCTCATTGTGCCTAGGTTCTTTTCCTGCCAAATGAGGATAGTAATAGTACTTATGAGGAGATTAAATGAGATAATATTTGTAAAGGTCTTAGAATAGTGTTTGCCATGGAAAGTGCTTAGACAAAAACCTTAGTTGCTGTTATCACAGTAGTGGTCTTAGCAAATTTCATGTTCTAGTGAACTATCTTGGTTCTTTGGAACGTGAGAGCCTTGGTAATCAGCTGTAGGGACTTTCTATGCCTCTAAATACATGTGATATAACTTAATTCTGACTTTCACCTATTAAAAATTATGCCTCTAAGGCTCTTCTTTGCTCACATTTTAGTACCTCCCCTGTATTTTGTGAGCATAGTGCTAATACAGTGGCTAGATGACGTACAACCAATTTTAGGAGAACTGGGCTCTGTTTTGGTTCTGTCCTGCCTCACCTTTGGCTTGTGCACCTCAGATCAGATTTTTCCCTTGAAGAATGACTGTACAAACTCCTTTAAGAAGATCACCAACATACTTTAAATAACTTATGTTTTAAGTCCTACAAAGCAGTTTAATGTAAAAATGTACACTGTTACATTTCTTTGATATGAATTTCATAGATGAAAAGAAGTTTTGTGTGATTGGTATGAGGAAAACATTCCAGTACTCAGAAAAATTTCTCAAACCCTAATTATCTCTAATTCCTGATGAAATTAATTTTGTTTAGGCTATTTATCTGGTAAAAAAAATGAAGAAAGTAAGTTTGAATTCAATGAAATATCGACTTTTCTTCCTCACTGAGAAGTGTGCAGGGCCTCTGTGTAGAGAATGTGATACGCATAAATTCTTTTGAGTTTTGAGTTACTGTGTAAACATAATATAATGCTTGCTATATAAAGAGAAAATACAAACTAGAAGATAGTAATAGAAGTGCATTAAAAATGACTATAAAAGTGGATTTTTTTTCTTGTGAAATAGCTGGGAACTTCTCCACTTCATCTGGCAGCACAGTACGGGCATTATTCCACCACAGAAGTGCTACTCCGAGCGGGTGTAAGTAGGGATGCCAGAACCAAAGTGGACCGAACGCCATTACACATGGCAGCTTCTGAGGGCCATGCCAGCATAGTAGAGGTTTTGCTTAAGGTATGTGTTGTCCTTTTGCACTTTGCTTTTGAAAGTTCGTGCCCAAAAGCTTTCTGACTTTATAAGAGGGAGAAGGGACCTAGTTTTACTGAAGGCCTACTTTTCCCCCTCTTTGTTTTCTCACTTTTTCTGTTTAAGCACATTAAATGAAAATTACCTTAAAGTTTTCCTTTGTGGGGAGAAAAAAAGACTTCCTTTAGGTTTGTTCTTAGGCCAAACAATTTCTTAAACCTTGGTCTCCATATGGTGAGAGACTACAGCTTTGTCTTACTCAACACAGTTAAAATGCTCATGGAAGAGAACATGAGGCTTGGATGACTAACAAACAAATAAGCAAATAATACAAACGGGGATTTTTCTTTACTTATCTAAATGTCAAAGAAGGATGTAGAAAATTCTGAAATAGAGGGTGATAGATTTAGATGTTTTTAATTGTTTTCGTTCTAGCCTCTAGATCAGCCTATCCAAAAGAAACACAGTGTAAGCCACAAATGCAAATCTCATGTAATTCTAGGTTTTCTTTTAGCTACATTAAAAAAGTAAAAATTAATTTTAATATTATATATTGTTTAATCCAAGATACAAAATATTATCCTTTCAATGTGAAATCGGTATAAAAATTATTGAGATATTTACATCTTTTTTTGGTGTTAGGTCTTTGAATTCCTGTGTGTATTTACACATACAGATTAGCCATATTTCACGTACTTAATAGCCACATGTGTCTAGTGGCTACCATATTGGAGAGTGTACCTCTAGATAGCTCCCTTTTAATTCTCTGTTACACTGGTTTTGAAAGCAAAGGGTAGTTTTGTGTAAATAAGAAACTAGGGGACCAGCTCCCACGTGGAATTAAAGAGAGTTTTGGAAGAATGCTTATAGTTTTCCTTCACTTCTTATATATGCCATTCTAGCCCTTCATGCTCATAGCTGGGTGACTGAAAAAATAATTACTGCACTCCTAAGAAATCAGAAGGAAACCAATTAGGAAAGTCAGCATGATAGAAAACTAAGTGACAGATATATGGTGATTCCTGGACATATTGATTATTCAACACAAAAAACTAAAGAGTTGATTATGTTAGTAGCAGATTCTTGCTTTAAAGCATGGTGGTTACTATTTTCATATTAAGAATTCTTTATATTTCATAGTTTAGAAATCTCTTATTTTGAAATATTTTTATAGCATGGTGCTGATGTCAATGCAAAGGACATGTTAAAGATGACAGCTCTACACTGGGCCACAGAACACAATCATCAAGAGGTGGTGGAACTTTTAATCAAATATGGTGCTGATGTACACACGCAAAGTAAATTTTGTAAAACTGCGTTTGATATTTCAATAGACAATGGGAATGAAGATTTAGCAGAGATATTACAGGTAACTTTTGACTTTTAATTTAAGAAAATAAAAGCATCTCTGTCTTTTGGGTGATTTGAACTATTTAGCTTATAGCTTTTCATTTTTGACTTGGTTGTTTTGGACAGGCCTTTTCCTCTTTCACTTCTTTGTTCATTACTGTTTGTTTTCCTGATTGTAAGACCATAGTCTTTGTATGTAACATTAGAAGATTAGATAAGGTGATTACTTTCTGTGTTGTTAAGTTCCTGAATTCCCCTTCTAGACATTCTATTAAATTTTTTGTTATGCATATTTGAATACCATGTGGTTTTTCAAAGTCTTTTAAACGTCCACTGAAAAAATTTTTTAGCAACCATAATAACGTCCCCTGAGTGATGCAGTCTGTCATTTGATTGGTTTCTTTTATTTTTCACCATGCTGAAAAGAATCTGTTTGCAAGCATAGTTATTTATGGCTTTGGGCAGGTTTTTCTAATAACCAATATTCTCCTCAGCTAAACAACATTGGTGTAAATTCTCTTCTTCACTTGCTGCCTCTTCTCGCCTGTCTTCTTGTTCTCCTTCCCAGTAGAACTCTTCTTCTCTTAGACCATCTGACGCTATCAGACTTCAGCCAGTCACCTAAAAGGTGTTATATGTTCAGGAAAATGAATTTTGCCATGCCTCTTCCAATTCTTTTACTCCTAGGAGTGCAGTTTAGGGGCTGGAGTTGAAGATGGAGAATAGTTCATTGGGAAGGAGGTGCTTTACATATGTTGGGTTATATATTGCTGAATATAGAAGAAGTAGTTTAATTTAATTTCTGTAGTTATAGAGCAGCAGCATATCTTTCAGCTGTGTTCTGTAAAAGCCTTTCAGGCACCTGTTTCTCCTCTCACAGGATTTTGCTGCTTTACCTAAAAGGGGAACTTAGGATATAAATTCATACCTGTGATTTCCCCTCTGTACTCTCAGTAGACCATAAAGATGATTCTCCTTAAATTAGAGGATGCTTCTTTATATTTGTGTTTGTACTACATTGAGAGTCTGTGCTGTATGTTCTGGTTATAATTCTGAAAGCTTTGTGATTTGTCCCCTAGATCGCTATGCAGAACCAAATCAACACAAACCCAGAGAGTCCCGACACTGTGACGATACATGCTGCCACCCCGCAGTTTATCATTGGACCTGGCGGGGTGGTGAACCTAACAGGTCTGGTATCTTCAGAACATTCATCCAAGGCAACAGGTATTGAGATGCATATAGGATAGCTGTTGGGATTTTATGCTCTAGTAGGTATTCCTCCTTTTAAGAAAGGACTGTTGGAGAATGAGGGTAAGATTATATCAGCCACATTGGTTTTCTTTGGTATAATTGGCAGAAAAAAATTCTGAGACAAAATAATTTAAAGAAAGCTGATATTGCAAAACATATTGCAATATTATGTTTCAGTAACTAATGGTATCCAAGCTTGTTTTTCACGAAACTAATATTATCCGAGCTTTATTTAATGGTTGGATAAGGTAAAATAGAATAACAGAAAATGCATTAGATTAAGCTTCTTAAAAATTCAAGTCTATTTTCTCTTTTCTCATAGATGAAACGGGTGTATCTGCTGTTCAGTTTGGAAACTCCTCTACATCAGTATTAGCTACATTAGCTGCCTTAGCTGAAGCATCTGCTCCATTGTCCAATTCTTCAGAAACTCCAGGTTAGAAAAACAAGTCAGATGTGTACATTAAAAGTTGGGGATAGAAATAGTTACGAAGGCCAGGAAGTAATCTAAAGCCTCAGCGGGCAGGGTCGAGATTACGGCCATCTGCGGGGAGTCGGGCAGGGCAGGGCGTCTGCTGCTCAGCTTGGGCTGAGTAAAGTCACATGCTCAATGTTGCCAGATTCTGTTTTTTCATGGGAAGCACAAAATCTGGATCTTAAAAGAATATTAAATCTTGGCTATCAATTAAAATTAAGTTTAATTAAAATAAAAAACAGACTGTGTGGTTCACAGAAAACATGTCTGTGTACCCAGTTTGGCATTTGTTTTACTTGTCTGTGACTTTCTGTATAAAGTAGATAAATATATGAACTTGCTGTCTTTTTCATAACACTTAATTTTTGTCAGTTCTATTAGAATGACATAAAATCTTAATGACTGACATAACTAAGAAATAGCATACCAACACCACCATTAAAGGATGACCTGATGTTAAATGATGACAAACAGTATCAATAGCTGGTTAGATAAGGTTACCTGTATATACTTAACCAAAATAGTTCTTGCTGTAATTATTCTGTAAGTAAATATTTTTTCAGTTAGGAAATTAAAGTCCATAAAAATATTCTTCTAACAGTAGTTTAAGCCATTAAATTTGGACCAATGCTAATAAAAGTAAAAATTCGATCATTCATTATTTAAATGTGATTTTTCAAAGTGTGATCGATAATAATAACCACAACAATTCATTGAATGCTTGCTGTTTGTGCTATGCACTGTGGTAAAAGTTTTACTTATGATGTCATTTAATCCTCACCAAAAAGTTTGAAGGTAGATGTTACTGGATACGACTGTTTAAGGTACTGCTGATTGAAAGACCTGCCTCTCTCTTTCTCTCTCTCTCTCTTTCCCTTTCTTTACTAACTACTGGTAATAAAGATTTATCCATTCTCCAGCTTCTTCAGCATCATAATCAGTGTTTGAATCTAAGCCTTTATATTTGGGAGTCTTAAGATTTTTCTGAATCACTTTTGGCCGTTAGCAGTAATGTGCATCGTCATTTTGACTTGCTGCTTTTATAACCTATGCCTGGATCTCTTTAGCGACTTTGTAATTGCATTAGCATATCAAAGAATATTAATTTTATTGGTGGTTTCTATTTGGTTACATTTATAAATTTTTTGTCTTTAAAGTACACATCTCTGAAAATTAAAGAACTTTTCTTGAAATCAGATGCATCTTTTGACATTAGATGTTTGGGTCTATGAATTGGTCATGAAAACTTCTCTAACTTCTACCTTTGAAAATGTTATGCACAGTCTAGTCTGAGAGAATTAGTAATTTCAATTGACTTTTATTGCGTGTGACTTACAGTCTTCTGTGAGCACAATTTTTCACTTCATTGCTACATCATAGTTGAAATCTTTTAGAAGATATTTGAAGAGCTTGAATTAAGTTAAAGTTCAGGTGAGTACATTGCCTCCAGTGTAAACAACTCAGCCGAGGTGTGTAATCAAATAAAGAAATATCTTCTCACATGCTTTGCACGTGCTCAGGCAAATTATTTCTCTGCCTCTTGATTGTCCAGTTTCTTTTAACATCAGTTGTCAGACTCATCCTGATTTTAGAAATGTTTATATATATTTGTTCAGGGACGTCTTAGGATCTGGGAAATAAAGTAGTACTCCTATTTTATATATGATGAAACTGGGATTTGTGGAGGTTAAATAATTTTGCCCAAAGTAGCATGGCTGTTAAGAGGTGAAGGGAGGTTCGTGCTCAAGGTCTGACTGATTTCCCAGTTGTGTGTTTGTGACCATATGATATACTAGCTCTTCTATGCAGTTTCTTTAGGTGATCAGTGTACTGGTCTCTTCTAGAATGTTTATAATTTGATTTGTGATAGGAATAAATATTTGTGTAGTTATAATTTTGTCTCATATCAAACAAAAGCATCACTATTCCTACTCTTACTCCTGAGGTGCATCTGTTGAAGCTATTTGTTAAAATAAATGTTGTGCTCATATTTTGCCCTTTTTGAAATGATTGAGAACCAAAATATAAGAACTATCGGTACACTAATTGGTACTGCTCATTTTCTTTTCTTTTACTAGCTGGGTAGTACAATAAACACATCTTTTGGATACCAAATAGCCAGAATGTAGCAGCAGATGGACCGCATGTGAGATGGAGTCTGGCTGGCCGACATGGTCCTATAGATAGAGGGAAGGTGCTGCTGATGGTCTAGGTTACCATGCCATTTCACTTGGGAGCCATGGCTTTAAATAGCGCCTTCATAATTACATTAGGGCTGTCTTTGACATAGAAAAGAAATCCTAGTGTTAGTCCAATGAGAACCTCATAAAGGAAATCAGTCTATTACAATGCTTTCACTGTGAAACCAAGTGATACCTCTGTCTTTTCTTGATGTTACGAGCAAGAATAACTGCAGATTATCAATGTTTGAGGATTCCAATGTCTCACTGAATTGCTTCTTTACTAGTATTTTTCATGTAAATATTTCCAGTTTTATTATTTCCTCCTAAACCTTTATTTTTCCAAGTATTTAACTTGTTTGATTACATTTTAAAAATCTCTATGCATAATTTTCGTGATTCTTTATCTCTTTAGTAGAAGTATAGAAAAATAATTTGATATCTTACTATACCCTGAAGAGTTTGTTGCTCATGTTCATTTTTATTAAATGACTGGTTTTGTTGAGAATTATTGATTTCCCTTCCTGAGCCCATAGGCCTATGCTAATGTGCATAGCTGTATTAAATAATCATTAGCTCTATCGGGGTCCAGGCCAGGCCAAAAAAAGATGCTGAAACAATTGATATTAGCCATAAATTGAATTTGGCATAATGAATTATAGAAAAATAATGGTCAGTATTTATTGGGTTCTTGCCCTGTCCTTGTTACCATGCTGAGTGCTTTCCGTGCATTATCTCATTTTGTTCTCCAAGAAGTCATCTGAGTTAAGAGACAGAGACTGTCACTGACCATTGACCATGATTTGCTTTTCAGCTTTGAGGTTTCAGAAATATTTTATTAGTATATCCTGAGTTGATGTAAGAGACTGACTCACACTCAGCAAACTCATAAGAAGGTGATACATAAATCAAAATGCCAATTACTTATTTTTAAGGGAGGATACAACTGTCTTTCTTTTTTTTTTAAAGATTGGCACCTGAGCTAACAACTGTTGCCAATCTTTTTTTCTTTTTTTTCTGCTTTTCCTCCCCAAATCCCCCCAGTACATAGTTGTATATTTTAGTTGTGGGTCCGGTCTAGTTGTCGCATGTGGGACACCACCTCAACATGGCCTGATGAGCGGTGCCGTGTCCGCACCCAGGATCCAAACTGGTGAAACCCTGGGCCTCTGAAGCGGAGAGTGAGAACTTAACCACTCTGCCACGGTGCTGGCCCTATTTTTTTTTTTTTCTTTTTCCCACAACTGTCTTTTGATACATGAAATTAACTTACTCATTTTGGAAATAAATCAGTGAAAAAATTTACAGCTTCTGAAAGTATGCATACGCAATTTTCAAAATACTTGTTTAAAACTGTTCAGAATTTTGGAGTGGAATAATTCAGGGGAAATAACAGGCAGCTCAAACATTAATACAATAATTGTCATTCTCTTTTACATTATTACAACAAACTAGTAGAACTGCTTGAAAATAGTTGGGAATTATCTTGTTAATTTATGTACCCAATGATTAGAAGGCTGTGTTCCTTTAAATTTTCTGTAATTCAAGTTTTCTACTAATTTGAACTCCTCTCAATTGATTTGAACTAATACAATGGCAACAAGAACAGAGTTTTTACACTTCGTGTGAATCAGAATCACCTTCTTGACAATACCTTTGCCCTAGTTCTACCCCAGTAGGTTCTGATTCAGTAGGTTTGGGACCCTGAAATCTTTATTTTTAACCTGCTCCCAAAGACGATTCTGATGGCACACTGAAGTTTTAGAATTTGACTAAATTTTAAAAGGTCTGTTTCTCACTATTACTAAGTTGGGTATAGTAAATACCTAAAGATTATAAGTATACTACAGAAAGGTTTGCTTGAATAAAATATATTTCTTAATTATTTCATTTTTATGTGTAATGGAATATTTATTCAACTCTTTATGGAGTGCATAGGTGAATCTCTAATGAGGGAAAGGTGGGAGAGAGGAATGCCTTTCTTAGTAGCTTTAGTAGTTAAATATATCTGGATGCCTGCTACTTAATCTTTTCAAGAGTTGAATAATTAAGGAGCAGGCTTCAGGTAATTAGGATATAATTAAAACAACAATGTGACACTGACTATCAAGGCGAGATTTCTCATATTGAGATGAGAAGAATGTTAATCATGTTGAGTACTTTAAAAATAAGACAAAGCTGACGAATTATTCACTGCCAACAGTCTATAGACCTAGTAAGGTTTACTTACCTCTAATTTATGTGCCTCTTTAAGTTTTTGTAGATTATAGGAGTTTCTGTGAAATTGTATCTCTAACAGGTGCTGAATATTGAGCATTGATAAAATTGTGATTTAAAGAAGGTATTACCGATCTCTATTTCTAAAAAAAAAAAAAAAAAGAAAAAATGAATTGTTTCAGGGAACTAAGTGTGGTTACCTAGTTAAACTAAGGGAATATGTATCTTCATCTTTTAATTTACCTCTAAGTGAAGTAAGTAACTACTGTATTTGCTGAAAGTTGCCATCATTACGCTTGATAATTTTAGAAACTTTTTTCTTTTAACTTTTTTTTGACGTTTTGACTTTTTTCTTTTGCCCTTTCTTTTGACTGATATTTTGTCTTCTTGTACCAAATTAGTCTAATTTGCAGTCTAGTTTTGGCCCCTTTTTTCTCATTGGTCTCTGGGTTCTTTTGCTTTAGTTCATTTGTCACAGTAGTTACCTAGCCAGGTAGGAGATTGGACATCAGACAATAATGTACAAGTTCTATGTGTTTAGGCACAATTGAACATTTCATTTGATTGTCAAGATTTGTAGAGGTTCCATTAAAATATACTTGATTATTTTTTTCTTATGCTCTCATTTCACTAATTTTGGAAAAAAACAAGCATCTTCCTGAAACATCCGTATTTGAAGTGTTCTCGTAGTATGTTTTCCTGTGCATGAAACTAAACGCTGTTTTATTGCTCTAGCTTGCAGTCATATATTGGTTTTGCTTTGCTTAGCCTTATTCTTCGTTGTGGCCCAGCTATATAATTCCTTGATTAAATAGACATCTATGACCACCCTTCTTTTTGTCTTTAGAGCAACTTCTGCCAATTGTTAATAAGGTAGGTTTCACAAAGGTGTAATGTGAGTGATGGCTGTCTCCCTCCTTTTTCCTAATAATGAAATTTGAAGCAGATCCCCTTTGCACATTGTTTTTCCCATCTTTTCTTAAAATAGAGCAGTGCAAGTGAATTAGCTTTAAGGGGTAAGTTACTGGGCTTCATAAGATTGTTTTGTTTTTGCTTTTGTGTTTTTAATTTCAGGTTCAATTGCAGGCATAATACCTTTGAAATGTTATTTTTTCTTCAATAAGCATAGTTTCTATTTTATTGTTGAAATATTTATATATAGAATTTTAATCTTTTAGAACATGTTAAAGAGAGTTTTTTTCTTGTCTTATTTGAATTTTGGGGCATTATAATTCAGAAGTCATGCTGAACAAGACATCTCATATTTTCAAAGATGCTGTGGATTATCTAGGCTGTTTGTATATTACAACTTGACTTAAATTAGATCAGTGAATGTTTATTACAGTTATTTTTTTATCCAGGGGTTTTACATTTGGAGATATGTGTGTGTGTGTGTGTGTTGTATGTGTGTGTGTGCATGTGAGTATATTTTTTAAATAACACTCTTTTTAAAGTTTTTAGGCTTTCTGTTTTATTCTTACGTGTTTCAACATTTCACTCTTGGGTTGTTCTTAGGATTTCTGTGAGGCACTTTGTCTTCTTACATAATTGATTTCCTTATAATTTTTTCTTAAATTCCTTACGAAAGCACACTTAGAAAGAAAGCTTTTTAGATGAAAGGCAAGAACTCTATTATTTTAATGACAGTCATTGCAAATAGTGCAAAGATGAAAGTTCTTGAGTTATGCCTTGATTCTGTGTGATCTCAGAAATTTCTTTCATATGATTATGCTTTAAAATACTTACTACTTGTTGTTAGCATTCAACCAGAGTGAACATTTCTTTTTCATATGGATATTTTTAAAAAAATCAAAGGAATAGTTAATGTGTTTGAAAACCTTAGTAGTTCTGTTGAATATATTACTATCTAATGCCTTACATTTCATTTTATAATTATCATCCTGAAATTTTCTTAAGTGCTTGGTGATATAACCTAATCATAGTTTAAGACAAACAAAAATGAGAGAACTCAAAACATAAAGGTTGTTTGCATTTCGAGTATCATCTCCTGTGATTTGTATTGTGACCCTTGATTACCAAATAACACAGTAACAGTTACAGCCAGGCCTGTTGCCATGAGTACATCCTTGAAAACTAGGGTCTCAGTACTTATCTTGCCTTTTTTAAAAAAGGAGTTCATATGTTTAGGGCCTCTCCGTCTTTAGTAAATCCTGTGGTCGTTGATGTCCCTGGTGTTCTGCTGGGAGTTGGGAGCAACTTAGCATGTTTCAGAGGAACTATGTGTCTGAATTGTAGCATGACTTTAGGAGATAATGGTTTTATTTCTTTAAACTTTCTGTAAAGTGTTGTGTCAAATAATACCTTAAAAAACCATATCATTTATAAATAGTTTTTATGCCATTTCTTTTCTCAGACCTGGTTATATTAAAACATTTTTTGTGACAGTTTTCTTTTCTTTAATTTTTTAATTAAAAAAAAATTTTTTTTTTGAGGAAGATTAGCCCTGAGCTAACATCCACCACCAGTCCTTCTCTTTTTGCTGAGGAAAATTGGCCCTGAGCTAACATTTGTGCCCATCTTCCTCCATTTTTTTATATGTGGGACGCCTGCCACAGCATGGCTTGATAAGCGGTGCATAGGTCTACACCTGGGATCCGAACTGGTGAACCCCAGGCTGCTGAAGTGGGGTGTGTGAAATTAACCACTGTGCCACCAGGCCAGCCTCCATGACAGTTTTCAAACCCATAGAAAAATTAGAGGATGAACTTTATACCTTAACTTTCATCTGTATTCACCAGCTGTTAACATCTTGCCACACCTGCATGTTCACACACACACATACACACACACACACACTTTTATTTTGCCAAGTTATCTGAAAGTAGGCTGCAGACATCATGACATTTCATCCTTACATACTTTAGCATGTATCACCCAAGAACAAGGGTAGCCTCCTACATATTCCCAGTTCTGTTTCCTAAAAACATCAACGTTAATTTAGTAACATTATCTGACTTATGGTCCTTCTTCAAGTTTCCTCAGTTATCCCAAAATGTCCTTTATAAATGTTTGTTTTTCATCCAGGATCCAATCAAAATTCACACATTGTATATTATATTTCTTTAGTCTTCCCCAATCTAGGACAGTCCTACTGCCTCCCTTGTTCTTTATGATATTGAAATCTTTGTAGAGTCTAAGCCAGTTGTTTGCAGAATCACCCACATTCGTTTCTTAATAATTAGATTAAGGTCAAACATTTCCAGGAAAAACACAAGTGACATTTGTCATCTCCCATTACATCACATCAGGAGGCGCATAATATCATGCCATCCTGATGAAGACCGCTTGGCGACAGTGGAAACTGCCAGTTCTTTTTAGGCACATATTGCCCTTTGTAACTAATACTAATCTTTGGTGTGATACTTTGAAAACATTTGAATATCTTGTTTCCCTTAAACATTTCCCCAGTGGTTTTAACATCCATTAGCGATCTTTGCTTGAATCAATTATTACATTGGAAGTTACAATGGTAATTTTTCTTATTTTGTTAATTAAATGTCTTTCTTCTATAAAGAAGATCCTTCCTCTTTCCTTCTTTCTCTCCTTTGTCATGAAGTATTATTTTGAATAATGGATTTTTAAAATTTAGTTTGTTATAATCCATTACTATTGTTATTCCTTTTGATGCTTTTTTATTGAAGTGTAGCATACACACAGAAAATTGTGTAGATCGTAAGTAAGTATAATCACAAAGTGATCACTCTTATATGATCATTGCTCAGTATATATTTTGTGTCAGATTTGCATCGCTCAGCATGGTGTTTGTCAGATTCATCCATGTTTTGCATTTAGTCACTTCAATTGCTGTGTAGTATTCCAGTGTATGAATCTACCATAGTTTATTTATCCATTCTACTTTTGATAGATATCTGGTTTGTTTCAAGTTTTTGACTGTTAGGAGTAAAGTTGCTGTGAACGTTCCTGTGTATGTCTTTTGGGATCAGTATTTTGGCATATAATTGCCTGTGGGAAAGGATTTTGGCAGTATTAACCTGTTATTTCCTCACCCAGGCAAGGCCAGGGATGCTGTTTTCAAATGCTAGAATCCTCTGTGAGCCTCTCATAAAATATTAAGAGCACAGTTTTGGATTTTATTTATGTAACTGTTAATATATTGGATTATTCACTGTCATACAGTACCAGATCTGTGTGTCACTTATTATCAAGGCAACCCTTGCTCATACGATCCAAAAAGGGTATACTGTTTATTCTGTATACTTGAAAAATATAAATTTCCATGTTTCATTGGATATAGAAATGTATATTGACTTATATGTAAATGTAAAATAAACACATACAAAATTCTCTTTGGGATTGTGGAATTTTATTAAGCAAGTGTAACTTTTGTCATATCTGTGACCTTGGGAGATTTTATAAATTTTGTACCTCATGTAACTAAATGAAGAGAAATTGTTTGTTTAAACGCACACATGCCTAGATAGTTGGAACACACATTGTAAGTTGTGGGACTTACACTCAACTACTTACATAGATATGAACAGCACTGCTGGAGACTGAATTTAAAAACCATGTAAAAGCTTTTCTGTGTAAGAAAGAAGCAGGGAAAGCAAAGGTAGCAAAGCAAAAATAAACTTCTGTTCATACTTTTATATATGTTCACTGATTTTTACATATGTATTTTTTTTTTCCAGTAGTGGCTACGGAGGAAGTAGTTACTGCGGAATCTGTGGATGGTGCAATTCAGCAAGTAGTTAGTTCAGGGGGTCAGCAAGTCATCACAATAGTTACAGATGGAATTCAGCTTGGAAATTTGCACTCCATTCCAACCAGTGGAATAGGTCAGCCTATCATTGTGACCATGCCAGATGGACAACAAGGTTGGTAGTAGACATTTACATAAAGTTTGTGTTTATTCTCAATTCTTTGGAAATTGTGATATGTTTTTCAAAGCATTTATTTTTGCCTTAAATTATGTTTTTGTAACTTTTTACAATAGACTTAATTGCCTTATTTTGGTTAGAAAAGGAACTTAAGTAAATAATTCAAAGTCAGCATTGGACAATAATTTTGTAGGCCACTTAGTGCAATTCAGGTATCATATGGGCTTTTAAAAAATACCATGTAAGAAGAGGCTACTTAAAAAGAAGTTGAACTTAGGACTTATAACAGGAACATGGTTACGACTTTTAGCAGTTTTTGTTGATAATTTCCTCATTTTTTCCCTCTTGAAAATCCAGAGAGTAATAAAATAAGATGGCTGAAACAAAAGCCCCAACTGTGTTTTTGGTGAAACTAAAAGGCTGAAAAAACCCCAAAATTCCATGTTTTAAGTGCTCTAAAACGTCTAAGACCATTACAGCCAGGGCAAGAGAACCTTCATGGAAAGCTACAATGGTGCATCAAGAAGAGAAATGGGGTTGAGCTCAGAAATCAGCAATAAATATACCCTCCCAGCAAGGCAGGGCCCAGTCTGAGTAGGAAGTGCTGCAGGTAGGGCTGAGATAGAGTAGTGTATGAGTACTGGGGGAAGAAGAAAGAGAAGGTGCAGAAAGTTCCCATCTGAGCAAGCATCCCTCTGCACCCAGTCCCCCCCCCCCCCAAAAAAAAATTGTGCACATACATAACCTATTAGAAAATGAGTAGGATTACAGAGATCATACCTCTTCACGGCCAGTGAAGGAATTGGGGAAGGGAAGGGCTAGAGGGAGAAGTTCTCCTAAACCGGGTTTAGTTTAGAGTGATGGAGGCGGTATGGCAGTGCAGAGAGCAGGTCTCAAGGAAGGAGTCTCGTCGTAGCAGTAGAGGAGGAAACCCTTGGCCTCTGAAGCCTGGGAGGGCTTTCTCTCCTGTTCTGTGGAAATCTTCTGTGGATAGCTGGTCCAAGGTTTGGATCAGGCCCAGCTGCTTTCACAAAGCTTTGAAGAACTAATTCTAATTATATAGAAAAGAAGGAAACTTTCAAAGTATTTGTATCAAGCAGCTATAACATTGTTTCCAAAACTTGACAACATACAGACAAACTGACCTCTTGATGAACAAACGGAAGGAAACTCATGTTTTTGGATGGGAAGACTCACTGTCATAAAGCTCTCAGTTCTTCCTGAGTTCATTTATAACCATAATGTGGTGTGAAAAAAAGGCTGTATTCGTTTGCTATGGCTGCCATAACAAAAGACCACAGACTGGGTGACGGAAACAACAAAAATATGACTTCTCACAGTGCTGGAGGTTTGAAGTCCAAGATCAAGGGGTCAGCAGGTTTGATTTCTTCTGAGCCCTCTCTCCTTGGCTGGCAGATGCTGCCTTCTTGCTGTGTCCACACATGGTTGTCCCTCAGTCTGTGTGTGTTATCTGTGTCCTAATCTCCTCTTCTTAGAAGGACACCAGTCATACTGATTAGGGCCCACTCGAATGACCTCATTTTACCTTTTACCTATTTAAAAGCTCTATCTCCAAATACAGTCACATTCTGAGGTACCAGGGGTTAGGACTTAAACATTTGAATCTTGAGGGGGACACAATTCAGCCTGTAACAAAGACCAACAGTTCTGTTTCTGGAATTAGCCAAACACATTCTGAAGTTTATATTGATGAGAGGAGGAGGGAAGAAGAAGAAGAATAAGGAAAACTCTGGAAAAGAAGAGCAATGAGAGGAACCTACTGGATATTAAAATAAACTTTGAAAGCCTCCATAATTTAAAAATGTGTAACTGACATGAATATATAGACTATGGAGACAGTCCAGTGAAACAGATAGAAGGTTCTCAGTTCTTCTTGAGTTAATTTATAAGTGTAACATAATAAGATATGAATGAGAAGAAGTAAACCACTTTAATTCTCAATATTTCTACTGGTTTAAATTACATCGTACTAAGTAAATATTAATTTTACTATTTTTTCATTTCTGTTTATATTTATAAATGCTAGTGATAGAGTTTTTAATGTTTTGACAGAAAACTTTAAAGGCCATGGAACAGTTGTAATGTCTCCCATTGATTATTCAGATTGCTTTGCATTGTTTCAGCTGACAGTCGTTTTCATGGTCCTGTACTGTTGTGCAGAGCAAGGACAGTCTCCATCTATAGAAAATATTTACATTTCTATGAAGAGATAGTAAAAATGGAGACAAAGTCCAGCAACTGAGTAGAACAACACAGTTTATAAACAACATTCATAACGGTGTGTCCACACAGTGGAGCATTATGCAGCTAAACAAAAGGAAGCTGTCTACTTACTGATGAAAGATGCCCCAGATATACGGAGTGAAAAAAGCAGATGCAGAACAATGTAGCTATTATATGTATGTTTGAATGTATGTTTTGTGAAGTATACTACCTTTTGCGTAAGAAGGAGAAAAATGAGAATGTATATTCATGTTTTTACATAAAGTGACACAAAAACAATACACAAAAAACCAGCAAAAGTGATAATCTGTGTTAGCGGGAATGGGGTGGAACCTCTCAAAATATGCTTATTGTTTCAGTTTTGAGCCATATGGATGAACATCTATCTATAAAACTTTTAAAAATAAGTAGGTACTTTAAACAACAAGTAGTTTTCACTAAAAAAGCATGAAGGTGAAGACAAGTATGGACATCCTCATAAAAAGCAAATCAATGTTTTGAAATTATTGTTTTAGAATATATTTATTTTAGATGAGTTGCATCAACAGTGTCAAGATATAGTTTTATTTCTACTAAACCTATCTGATAATGAAGTAATGTGTACATTTTTTTATTTTAGTATTAACAGTACCAGCAACAGACATTGCTGAAGAAACTGTTATAAGTGAAGAACCACCAGCTAAGAGACAATGTATCGAAATAATTGAAAACCGGGTGGAATCTGCAGAAATAGAAGTAAGGAGTCTTTTACCCGGTGTGTTTTGCTGCAGTCATCCAAAATAAATTCATTTCGCTTTTCTTTTTTTTTTTTGTCTTTTATATTTATTACTGACAGTGTTGTTTTGATACAGAATGAAAGTATATAGTATTATTTTGTCTAATTTTTTGCCTTATACATATAGCAAGCCCTCAATAAATAAATATTGAATGAATGAATGAATGAGTGAAGAATTTGTTTTTAACAAAGTCTGTCATCATGGTAACACTGGAATGTCTTTGATTCTTGCATTCCATCCTTTATTTTCTGTTAAACTTACATACATCATTCTCACAAGTCACTACAAGAAATGTCATTATATAATGACTAAAAAAAATTTTTTCTTTCAAAAGTGAAGTGCAAATGTCTGTTTGGCCTGTAGGATCCTCTTCAAGAAGGTTGTTGTTTGTTGACTGTTATTTTTTAAAAAGCTGTAGATATCTGCTTATTTCACTGTTAAGTCCTATAAGGAAATTAAATTAATTTAGACTAGCTGTTGATAGGATTCTACTTTTTTTTCCTCTCCCAAACTAGTTTGTAAGTGTAATCAAACCATAGTTATCTCACAGGTTTTTTCTTACATGACTGTAAATAAAATTGTCTCCTGAATTTGATATTAACTTAATCAAATGAAAATAAAGTTATTCTGGAATAACTTTGAAAGAGCAATTGCATTGTGAAGAACATTGGACTTGAAATTAAATGAGCTGGATGTGAATTGCACCTCTTGCCCCTGTTAGCTTTGAGGCAAATTATCTTACCTTTCTGAGTTCAGTTCTATTTTCTCCCAAATCGGAATTTAGGATAACAATGTCCACATGTTGAGGTTTTTATGAGAACTGAAAAAGTCAGCATACTCATATACACGTATTTATAGTATCTGATATATGTGAATAGTAAATGTTGGTGAATATTTAGGAATTCTTTGTTAAGGTTTTTGTTATCATAGAAAAGAGAGGATTTAAAAAAAGTCAGTGAAAGACAGCATAATTCTGACTAAGGACAGTTAGAAAATATCTTTTCCCAAATTCATTTAAATGTAAGACTGGTACATCTTTGGCCACAATCACAAAGAATACATTATTAAATTTAAAAAATCTGACTCACGGTTTAACCTGAATGTTTGGTAAAATTGTGACTTTAATTATTGAAGGTGAGTTGTTTTATTTCTTCAGAATTTAAAGTGATCTTTGATACATTGACATTCTTGCCCACAAACTGACAGTGTATTCTATTGAACAGTTATCAGTATACTTATTATTTAATAATCTTCTTAATACTGTTTTCTATGTCAGACAGTCTTTTTTTTTGGCATATAAAATGAAAAAAATTGTCATGTATGTACTTTGCTTTAACTATTTAATAAAACATTATTTTTAAATTACTTGAATTTTTATTAAACATAAACTTACTCAACAAGTTATATTTTTAAAACAATGAATGTACAGCCTGTACCTTTATTTACCTAACAACCAGTGAGAGTTGCTGTTTTCCTCAAAGTTCAGCCTGATTCCTGTCTTAAGTCTTTCAGAGACCAGGGAGAATAATTGCAAATAACAGGAAAGTATGAATTGAGGAATATAAATTACCTAGAACCAAAGAGATGGAACTTCAGGGAGATGGAGTTTTAGCTTGGTATAAAGAAGAGTAGTTTTTGTTTGTTTTGTTTTTAGTAATTAGAGCTTTCTGGTAATGGAAATCTTATTCTCTGTCACCGGAAATGTTCAAGTCAGGGTTGCATGACCTCTTAGAGCTTTTATAGAAAGACTGTGAAGCATTCAGTGAATATAAACGGTAGAGATGGGCTGGGGATGTAGAATGAAGAGAGACCTCCACTGTTTTCATCAAACCAGGTAATCAGTTCCTTGTATAGTATGTAAAGTGGTTCTTTTGAACTTATTTTCTTAGATGACCAATAGAATTGTCTTGGGAGCAGACTTTTATACTCTTTTGTAAGTGACAGCTATGACATTAACCGAAAAAGTTTGTCTGCAGCAGTGCTGCTCAACTGGAGTGATTTTGACCCCAAGGGATATTTGGCAATGTCTGGAGACATTTTGGGTTGTCATAACTAGGAGAATGCCACTGACGTTTAGTGGGTAGAGGCTGGGGATGCTGCTAAACATCCTATAATGCACAGAACAGCTCCCCAGTGAAGAATTATCTGGCCCAAAAACATTAATGCTGAGTTGGAGAAATTGTGCTCTAAAGGAATTAAAAAATTAAGTCATTATACAGAATCTAAGATGTTTGGGTTTTCTCTGTGTATGTGTCCCCACAATACTAGAGTGACCTCTATAAAGTGCTAAGAATTGTATTTATAGTTTTCCAACTAACGTTGGAGCGGTTTATCAGTAATCTCTGGAAAAGTTAGTTTAAATTGTAGAAAATTTATTGTAAATGTTGTGGCTTTTACATCTGCATTATAGCAATATAGGAAATGAAAGAAGTTTGTTTTTTGGAGGGAAGGTATAAATAAGACACCAAATTGCAATACTGTGCATCATTTTGTTATCATTCCTTAATATTGCTGCATTGAAGATATTTTTGGAAGAAGTGTGTAATTCATGGATTTATTCCGTAAATAAACAACATTAGCCTATTCTGAATTGAAATTAAAACTGTTCTTTGTACATGTGGTAGGGAGGAAATGTAATTAGTGCATTAAGAGTTACAGATTTTCTCTATTACTTACTTAGTTGTGTGAATTCAGGAAATACTTTTATGTTTTTGTTTTTGCCATAGAGGTTAGAGATGAATATATTTATTAGCAAGTTTTGTTTATTTTTAGTAAAGTATTTGTATCTTCTATTCAGTGATAGATTGGGATCCTTAATGTTGTTTTAAAAATTGGTTTCTGTAAACTTTATACAGTATTTGATTTGATGCAAATTTTTTCTGTTTTCCTTTTATTAATGGATATCCTTTTGATCTATCAGAGTTTTAAAATTTTCTATAGTCATATCTCTTTTTGATTAAATTTTTTCTCTAGGGCTGGAGTAGGCAAAGTTTTTCTGTAAAGGGACAGATAGCAAATATCTTTGGCTTTATGGGCTGTATAGTCTGTGTTTTGCTACTCAGTTCTGCTGTTACAGTGGGAAAGCAGCCATAGACAATTTGGAAATGAGTGGGTATGGCTGTATTTCAATAAAATTTTATGTATAGCAATGGGATCATATTTGGCCCATGGTAGTTAGAAAATTGATATTTACACACAAACAGCTCACACACACTGCCCAGTTTCTTTTTAAAAAAACATTTAATGGTTAAAAATATGGGTCTGGAATCAGATTTAGGTTTGAATTATGTTTTTAAAATTTCTGATTGTGTGATTTTGGTCAATTTATTTAACCTTTCAAGGCTTGTCTTCCCCATCAATAAAAAGGGGAAAATAATAGCACTTACGTTATCAGATTGTTTGTAAGGTTTAAATGAGAATGTATTTGAAGGACAGTACAGTGTTGACCATATGGTAAATGTTCAGGAGATGTTAGTTACTATTATCATTATCTTCTAAAATTTATATTGAGGTATGGTAGAAGATAAATCACTATAATGATTGTTTGCTTTATAATAGCTAAAATAAAATAAATTTGAATATTAGAAAATGATATGTTAAAAATGATACTTCAGTTAAGAGAGAGTTGCAACTAGCTGAAGCAGAATTCAGGAATCTTGTTTGAAAATAAAAAAGCAAACTCAAGTCTTTCCTTGCTCTGTTATTCCATTGCCTAATGTAATAGTAATATATTGCTGGGTTTGGTGTTTAGTATAAGATAAACATATCTTCTTTATTGCTACCAAATCTTATCATCAGAATTTCTTTTTCTTGGAATTCTTCAGTGTTAGACTGTTAAAGGAAAAAATGCTTCAATACTATGTATTACATATTAGTAGTTTAAAGTATGTTTATTTAAAAATGTCAGACTTTTTTATTGCAGAAGGTCAAAGCCATAGGATTGACATTTTATATTTAAATATAAATTTTAACTGTCAGTCTGCACTATTCATGTGTGAAACAGCCAAATTATCGTTTGCATTAAGAAAGTGTCTTGCCTGTAATATATGTTCAGTAAACATTTGACAAATAAATTTGGAAACAAAGGACCTTGTTGAATAAAATAAGTGATACTTTCCACTTTTTAGAGATTTTCATTTGCTTTGAAAAGTGAGATGGCAAAAAGATTCTGTCCCCAAATACTTACATTCCTGAGAAGTAAAAAATGAAAACACTTTAAAAAACTTTAATAGTGTTAACTATGTTTTCACTCTTGAGAATTAAATGTATTCAAAGAGTAGTGCTAATGATCTTTGTCTTTCAGATTTTACAGATTCACTCAAGAAATGTGATGTAAAATGAATCTTGTACTTGGCCTACTAGGCAGAAGAGAGCTATCTTTTCATTTATATTAAGATATATTCTACTAATTGAAATCAAACTATGCAATAAGGAAAATCGGATTTGACTGTGTTCGCTGTTAGACCGTTTACCTCACTCAGTTTGCTTTCATCTTCTGAAATGATTGTGAATCCCTGGCTGTTTCTACATTTTAATAAATAGCTAATACTTAAAGATACCTTAGAGTTAATCTGTTCCAATATTTCCTACCAAATCAGGGGAAGTTTTTATCTATATTCAAAACTTTGGCTATCAAAGGATCTTATTTCTTAGCCCATGTAAAATTTTACAACACTTGCACATGGCTCGGAGCGCTCCTGCCAGAGGGGGGATCTAGCTCCTGGGGAAGCAGCACCTGTCTACCACCCTTGCCCTTTGTGTACTCAAAGTCCTGCAGAGCTCACTGCCAGGGCACTGCGTTGATTGCTTACATGAGGCTCGTCTGTTGGATGTCCTTTCTGACTTGTTCCTACTCTCTCATCTTGCCTAGATTACGGGTAAGAAGGGGCTAAGATAAGGATCACAGGGTAGGACTCGGGCATTTCTTAAATTGGAGATGGCACATTTCTTCTACTTGAACATTTTGTGTAACTGGAACACTTGGAGACTACTTGTGTAATCAATCACTCCCACATATAGTGGACCTAGGGGAAAAATAAATTTGTATCCAGCTTCATTCCCAGTGTGGAGAAGGGAGCAGGGTCACAGGAAGGCAGGGGTATTGTGTATGCTCCTCGTTGTGGACCCTGTGCATAGTGAACGGGAGAGCATCTTTTGGTGTTCACAATGGACGAGGGTCAAGGAGGCAGTGAGAGAGACCCTCATATTGCCCTCTTCCCCAGCGAGCTGCTGACTCCTCACCTTGGCTTCCCTCTGGTCGAGTGTCTTATCCAGTGTCAATCTGGCCTTTCTTGTGATTAATAGTCTTACACTCAGCCCACACCCTACTGAGAGGTCCTGGGCCTCTGGTAATGAGGTTGAGGTTTTGTCCATGAGCTTACTGAGGTATGGGAAAGGAATCTTTGAAATGTTTTCCCTTGTTGTTTTTCCTGAGGCAACTGAATAGGGGCGGAGTAAGGAGGAAGAGAAAGAAGACCATTTTCGTTGGACCAGATCTGTGTTTCAGCTCTCAGTTTTTTGAGGAATTTAATACATATTATTTTGTACCTGTATAATGAATCACACTAGGGAAATTAGTATTTTATTGGTTTGTAAAATGGTATAATTTAGGAAATACTAACCTGGATCAGCACTCTTCATTTTAGGGATGAGGAATCTTGCTTGCTCTTATAGAGGAAGGGTGGTTTTAGAAGCAGTAATATTAGGATCTCATAAACCCTACTCCTTACGGTGTTACTATGGGAAAGCAACGTCATCACTGAGCATCATTTTCCTCATTTATAAAATGGGCATAATGTCTATCTTAGAGGCTTGTTATTGGAAATCACCTTGTTTAATCATATAATGAGTACTCAATAAGTATTGTTTTATAATTGTTATATCTTTAGATAAAAACATCACAGATAGAGATATGAAGAGGGTATAGTTGTATATTTCCTTCTTGGAGCTTTTCACTAGTTTCTGCAGTACGTATAAAAGTGCAGGTACCAAATTTGGATTCATTATGTTAGTCTTATTTCTAATTAGGAAGTAATTTCCTTGAGATCAGAAACTGTAATCTATATCTCAGTGTAGAGCCCAAAATTAGGGGCTTTAATTCTTAGTGAATTGGTTGAAAAGGCAATATGTCTAGGAAATGTTAATAGGTGGCGACTTTTAGCTACTACAGATTTTTTTATTTGCAGGATGCATGCTTGTATGTGTTAATGATGTATTTGTGCAAAAATTGAAAACAACCCCCCTTTTTTTTTTAAATTAGGAGAGAGAAGCTCTTCAGAAACAGCTGGATGAAGCAAATCGAGAAGCACAAAAATATCGACAGCAGCTTCTAAAGAAAGAACAGGAAGCAGAGGCCTACAGACAGAAATTAGAAGCTATGACTCGTCTTCAGACTAATAAAGAGGCTGTTTAATTGCAATGAACACATGGTTTGAATTCACTTTTGGTCAAGAAAGAATACAGTCTTGAACTGTACACAACCAGGTGCAGTCGCGAGAAGACGGTGGTAGAAGAGACTGCAGATGGAGAACTGGACTTCAGCCATGAGCTCGGAATTCCTGTAACATAAAACTTTAAAAGTTGTGAAATGTATTTAAAACTGAATTCTGTAAATAGTTTTTGTTTTTTTTTACAGTTCCAAATGAGTTGATAAAGATTGTTGAAGAGATCCAAAAACACAATAAGCCACTGTTTTTGTGAATTCTTTTTGATTTTAGTAAGAACCTTAATTTCTCAGAAACAGAACAGTTTTAAGGGTGATCATTGATTAGACCAAATGTGTCATAATTATGTGGTGGACTGATGCTGGAATTACTCCTGTAGGTGTAAACTTCTATATGAAGAGAAAGATTTCTTCCAGGAAATCTTTGTACAGCTTTAAGTTGTCTCAGATTCTCTGAAAACATTTTTTAGAAAGCAAATTTTTATATTTGTTCAATTTCAGCTATATCCAAGTAGATTTACATGTATATGAAGCAAATATTTTTTAAACTTTCTGTTTGTACATATTCTGCATGTTTTATAATTTCAAAATGCATCACTTGCATAGGTATTTTTCCCACAAAGATGATGAAAGTTCTAGGAAAAAAAATACGCTTTTATTCTGTAGGTCATCGAAACTAAGTAAGCTAGCAGGTGGTCTTATTGGAATGACAATGTTCTTGGAAGGAGCAGCTTACAAGATAACTTGAATTGCAAATAGCAAAATCTATGCTTTTTTGAAAATTTCATAGTGGGGACGTGAAACTGTATTCTGTGCCTTCCATCATGATTTCCACATGAAAGCACTTTAAGGCACTGGATTTTAAGATAATGTTTTCGGAAAACTCAAAGCATATGGGTTTCTGAAATATTTCATGGACTCATTTCCCCCCCCAGGATATTATTCTTATGGAAAAAAAATGGCTTTTGTATGTAGAACAAGAACTTTTTGTACTACAGTGATGCTATAGATAGTCTAACGTAACTTTTGCTTTTCTCTGTGAAGCTGTGTGTGTGTGCTATGACTTATTCTCATCGCAATATTGTTGAATTCCACAATGTATGGACATTAAACTCTGACATACTGTTCATTCTTTTTTTGTAAAACATAACTTCAAGCCCTTTATTCTTGCTTTATTTTTTAATGTTTTGTTGCTTTATGGAGATGTTTAACCCCAAGACCCTTCTAGATTACCTATACTGTATAAAGAAGCAATTACCCTTAAAACTGTACTCTGGCCTACTTTTCTATTTTACAATTAAATATCTTTTCCACATATGTTCAGTGTAGACCTATATTTTGACCACATTTTCACACATTAAAATTTTTGTTCTGTGTATTAGAGCCATATTCCACCATGTGAAAATATTATATGTTCTTCACACCGTGTCTTAAAAGTCCTTGAAGTAACGCCTTGGGAATTTGTTCTCTCCCTGGAGTTATCAGTATAGTTGTTAATGTAATAAAAGGATCGGTGAACTATCAGCCTGATAGTTGCTGTTTGGGAGCTCTTAGAAAGGTTTTATGGCAAATTTAAGAACTCTATAAGGAAGAGAAAAAACCTTTTATCAATTTCCCATTTAATTTGACATACTTTAAATTATCTAAAACTGTGGAATTTACAAATGCCAGGTGGTGTTTTCGGTAGCATGAAGGTGCTTTTTCTCTGTGCTTTGTTGCTTTAGTGCATTTATAGGATTTGTTGTGTTGGGCAGGCTGCTCTCACGTAGGCAATGGTGGAACAGAGAAGGGCCAGTGTGTTCACCCCAGAGTGCAACTTCTGTACAATGTTGCTTGCAGCCCAGGCTGGCCCTGAAGAGCCTTGAGACAGCGTTGGAAAGAAGCTTCTGAAAGCTAATTTAATGCCGTCTTTGATTTCTGGTCTCCTTTTCTGCTAGACACGTTACCTGTTGCAAGACAGAATTCAATATATAGTAACAACATTTGGCATAGACAGGAGAAAATAATTGGTGCTTAAAATGAGTAAGTCTATAACAGCATTAGGTAGATATTCAGATGTTTTTGAGGGAAGTTCACTTTTTTTCAGAGTCTGCTTTGTTGGACTTGTGTCACTCAATCATCTACATCTGATTCACTGTACTACGAAATCAATACTTAGATAAGAATTTATGACTAAAACTTAAAATGGGTTTCCTTTTTCTTTTTAGCTTCTGTTTTCAGGTGGGCTGGAAAAGCTCTGCATCCTAATCATTCTCACTGGTGTTCTGAGCAGAGGATTAAAAGAACTGATGGAATGAAATTAAAAGTTTTCAGAAATTCACACTTACGGTGTTTTCACTGCATAATGATGGCTTTGTAATTCAAGGTCATCAGGTTGCCACATCGATGGTTAATTGTTTCCATCTACCTGCGAACAAATACCTTCTAGAGCTGCCTTTCTTAACTAGGGTTCTGCAAGAGAATCAATCCCTGACACCCTAAGTGTTAGGGCCTAATGAGTTAATTTCTTGTAATGAATTGCTTTCTTTCCTATGCATCTGAAATAGTACTGGTTATGTACAATCTAGACACTGAGCTCGTTAGATGTCTTGATTGCCTAATTCATTCAGATTTAACGCTTCCCGTGCGTACAGTAACTGGAGCTTGAGGGTCACAGATTCTGGGTTGAGCCTGTGATGATTTCAGAAAGCCTCGACTAATGAGTGACGAATCTGCAGGAACTGTACTTCTCAGCTAATTTTCATTTTTTGTTATTCATATCTTAATTACATCCCCAAATGGCTTGTGATGCCATTTGTTTTCATTGGCTTTTAAGAATTCTTTTCTTATGTCAATCTTTCATGATATGAATGGCAGAGTAGTTAATCTCTTCTTTTACTCCGCCACTGGATTGCACTATTTGTTTATGTGGTGGAGGGTTGGGAGTTGGGGACTTTCTGTGACATTCAAGAGAACAGAGTTAAAGGGAAAAGCGAATAAATGTGAAATCCATGTAAGTTGGTCTATACCTGTTTATAACAAGAAGATCTGTATACAAATATCCCAAACATATTGCTAATGAAAATCTATGCCAGTATGTGTTTCTTCGACATGATCATTTATAATATTGTTTATTGAAGATTAGAAGAAACTCTTGCCCATAAGAGGAAGTGATGAGTTGGTAGACATATTCATGGATGATTTATGCTGATATGACTGATTTTTTCTGTATTCTTTACAAAGTTTCTTCCAGGTAAAAGCTATAAAGTTCCTTTGTGCTTTAATCCTGGAAGACCTTGAGAACTGACTGAACGTGTATCAAGAAGAAAAACCTGTTCAGACACAAAACAATTGTAGTAACCTTTATGTCCATATGGATGGGTTCCCAAGGCATTAGTGCTCAGGCCTGTATAACAAATAGAAAAAAAATCCTTTCTATTCACCTCGCTTCTATTGAATAAATAACTCCTTCCATCATGTCAGATCAACTTAGGAATGAACTAACTAATACATTTGTTATTTCATTAAGTAATATTTACTCTACTTGGATTTCATTATAGATAGCTAGTCTCTTGTAGTTTTGAATGATGTTTGCTATTTGCTTTCTCTCTCTTAGAAGAGAACATCTCAATGCGCATGGATTCAGTTTGACGTAAGCTCTGTGAGTTCATTCTCAGATTACTCTTGTAACCTGTGGTGGAAAACACAGTATCATCACTGGAAATATGCTTCTGTTTCATGTTGAAATTTTGATATCAATATTTTTGTGAGTTATTAAAACTATTTTCCAAATAGGTATACAGATGGTCTTCTAATTTTTGATCATTTTCATACCCTGAGCTCATTTAAAAATTTCACTTTGATAATCAAACATTGAATATAATTTGGATACAGCTCCTGGGGCTCTTCAGTTTTAGATGAATATTGTAACTGCCACAAAACTACCATTTGCTTCCTGGAAAAATTTTGACCTAATCTCTCTGATTTTGTCTACTATTCTTTATTAATTGCTCAGTTTTTTATTTGAATAGCTTAGACCTTATGTGCACAGTTGGTATGTAATATGTTTTCTACATAAATAAATATGTAGTACTATATAATACAATTCCAGTCTTGCTACTGGTTGACTACATGGATTATAAGTGTGAATTTTGTGGATTATTCAAATGTCTTGATTTTTCTGTAAGAAAATAATTTTTGTATACCAGATAAAAGCCAGTAAAGCATTCATTTTTGTATTATTTTTCATAATTATTCTAAACTTACCATCCTTATAACTCTCAAGAATTATTTCAAGTTTAAATTGCATTCACTTATTTTGCTGTAGAAAAATATCATATATTAGGAATGCTGACACTTGAGTGAACTTGTAGTCTCTTTAAAAATAATTCTCCCTCTGCCAGTGAACTGACTACTTCCAAACATTTGTGCCCGGTATCATGGAGACTCTTGGCATCAAACACAAGCCAATTATTAAGAATGTTACTACCTTTGTTAAGTACAATTCAATGCTTGGTTTTCTTGTGGTTGTTTTAGTGAACACTTCAAAATATATAGAAGGGCACAGAGAATAATGTAACCAACATCCATGTACCTACCACCCAAATTTAGTAAACCTTAAATGTATCTTCTTTGCTTCAAATCTTTTCTCTTAAGAAAAAGAACGTTACAGATGTAAAGTCCCTTTGTTCTCCTTCCCCATCCCGTTTCCCTCCCTCTCCTAAAAGACAGCCACTATCCTGAGGTTGAAATGTTTCGTTCTATCTACATTTTCATGCTTTTACTACATACCAAATTTCATAAATATATGATAGAGTTTTGTGTAGTTCTTAAACTTTATTGAAACTGTCATTCTATACGTGTGTCATTCTGCATATTAATTTTTTGAATTCATCAATATTTTAGACGTTTATTCATGTCAATATCTAATTCATTTTGACTATTATATAAAATCAAATAAGAATATACCATATTTATTTATCCTTTGTTCTATACACAGATATGTCACTTCCAATTTTTCATATTGCAAATAGTACTGTAATGAACATTGTTGTATGTTGTTATCTTCTTATGTGCACACATGTGCTATGTTTCCCCAGAAAATGGGATTGTTAGGTCGAGGGTAGTCAATTTTACCAGCCGTTGTCAAATTGCTTTCTAAAGTGTCTGTGAATAGTGAATGGTGATGAGAATTCTCATTTCCCTGTATCTCACCAACACCTGATATTGTCACACTAATATTTTTGCCAACCCTACATTGATATGAAATTGTTCTCATTATTTGCACTTCCCATTACTAGTAAGGTTGAACATTTTTTCCTTGTTGTTTCTTGTCCATTAACAGTTATTCTTCTGTGAATTGCTAGTTCTTGGCTGTTTTTTTGAGGGGGTTGTAATTTTTCTTACTGATTTATTCAAGATCAATATTTTTCTGGAAACCAATCTTTTACTGGTTGTATGAGTTGTAAATATCTTCTCCCAGTGTCTGATTTAAAAAAAAAAAGGTTTGTTTATATTGTCTCATTAGTACATATTTCCTAAATGTCTACTACATGCAACTCAAGGTCAGGCTGGGGGAGAATTCCAAGTTTTATGTGAGTTTAACACTCAAGAAGCCTATATTTAAAGGTGGAATGAAATTTTCATTTACAACTTGATTCTGTTTCTCTTTTAGCTAAATACTATTTCCTTTTTTGCAGTCAATGCTTCTCCAGATAATTAGTGAAAGATTTAATTTTCACGTTTACCATTTTTAGAAGATGTAACATAGTACTTCATTTATTTTTTTCAATTCTTGCTCTAAATTTTTCTCTTGATGTTTTATAGTTGTGTATTTTGGATTATATTTGAAAGGACAATGAATGTTTGGACTGTTGCACATGAGGTATAGCAAAGCATTTGGGAGCATTTAGCGGAGCCTCCAAAAATTAAAATTTCACTAGCCCCCTGATCCTAGAGGTGTGGTGTTGTCGATGACAAAGTTGAGAGAGGCAGCTTGGTGTGATGGAAAGAACATGGTATATTGGATCAGATAGCCCTGGGTTCAAATGCTGGCACCTTCAATTATTATCTTGTGTAATTTTAGCCAAGTGTTTTAATTTCCTTGAGACTCAGTTTCTCAAAGATGAGGTAGAAGATGACTTTCACTAGGTTGTCGTGAAGATGGAATCAAATAATGTGTTTGAAAAGTGCAAAACCTGGTGGTCAGTGCCTAGTAAACATTTGTCAAGTTTGTTTTGAGGAAATATGTAGGAGAGGCAGAGCTCTCTTGAAGGTGTATGTAAAGGGCAGTCATCCCAGCCTCGCCCTCTCCCTTTGGACAAAAAGGTGTGATTTTC